AGAGCAGCAGGCAGACAGGCGCCGCCAGCCAATCAGAGGCGCGCTCGGGAGCTGCAGAGCCCGAGCCTCGGAGCCCAGGGCTGGAGGTGCGCGGAGCCCGAGTCGGGCTCTCCGAGGACCGCGAGCAGCTGTGCCCAGAGCTCTGGATAAGTCCCCTTTGCTTCTCGTAAATTAAGTTCCTTTCCACCAGTTAGGGCAAGTCAACCAAGGTAAGGCTTCAATAAATGACACTTTACTCTGTAGTGACATGAATGCGTTGGTACGAATGGGACTGCGTACTCAGTTCTGAGTCCAAACAATATTTGGTGAATCTTCCACTCGGATGGGTGTCGCGGAATCTGGCGTTCGTGGGAAAGTTGCAGCTCGTGCCGGCAGCCTGACAGCGAGCATAATTTTGTATTTCTTACGCAGGAATGTTGCCATTCGTGCCTATGGAATGTGAGCCTCAGAATCCGGCTGGGTCTCTGTTTATGTTTATCTCCGGCTGTGCCTGCTATCCTCCCTACCCCTGAAGTTGGAAGGGTACTACTCTGCAAGGCACATTTGAATAGCGACGGCAGCAGTGGAAGCTGTCATTTATACCTAGCTGTAAAAGTGAGGGAAAGCACGGGCAGGATAGAAACGGGGCATTGAAGCTGCGTTTTCAATAGTGCCTTTTAATTATTGCCTTTCCAGTATCCTCTAAAATTACATGGTATTTGAGCACTGGAACTGCAGCAGGGCAAGCCACATTTTGGCTCTTCTTCTTTTCGTTTTTTTTTTTTTTTCCTCCTTCCCATGAATTGCACCCATAAATGCTTATTAAGGCTTAAGATGAAACTTTCACTTCTTTTAAAGGGCACTATAAATGATGCATGAAAGGGAATTAGGTAGGCTCCTGTGATCAGCAACACACTTTATTTAGTAAATGCCCTGATGTTTGTTAACTCTTACTCATTTCCCTTTCTTAACTTCTTGAACCTGGTCTGTTTGAGTGTGGATGTACCTATTATTTCGTCTTAATTCGCATGTCTTTAAAATGAGGTAAAATTATGTTTGTGTACATGTGTGTATGTGTGTATGTTGTATGGACAGATGTGGAACTAGGCAAATCTCTCATATGTAACAGGTGAAAAATAATTGAATTTTATTAGCTGGGGGTTATTCAAGTATTTTTATGTCAATGCGTGTGGTTTGTAATGTTGTAGTCAGGCATATAAATGTTCTTGGCTTTATCCCCATTAGAAATCAAGAAAAATAAATAAAAATCTCGGCTAGAATGATGATGGTCTTCGGTTTGCTCAGGTGATGCCATATCACTGCCGAGAGACAGATCAGGGAAAGATTTTGTGATGCAGCCAAAAAACTAACTACAGGCTCTGACTGTGTTTTCCAACCTGTGTTTTCCACTCTGGAATCACCCACGGATTTTCCAAGGCAGGGGGCTTTCCTTCTGCAGTAATTGTTCTCCTCTATTTCAGTGTACTTGTCTTAGAATATTTCATTCTAAAGCAAGAGTTTTAGGACCAGACTAGATCTGGTGTTTGCCTGGTTTGGTGGAGGAGGAGGACAGCAGGGTGGGATACTAGTAGGGAGTCAGTCCTGTTGCCTCACACGGAACTGGTCCAAGCACCAGTCATCACTGCAGTTTTCTTCAAGCCTCCTGTTAGGTATGGCATGCTGGATTTCCTGGTAATGCATTAACCTAGTGTAAGTCAACCCATGTATCCACTCCACAGGCAGCTGCTTAATGGGCTTTGGTGGGTAAGTACATCATAAACCATAGTTCTGGCTTTGTTTCCCAAAAATAGCTAACTTAAGAAAACAAACAGAAAATAATACCAGTAGTCAAGATGGGTCACCTACTTTACAACAACCGGAGGTAGAAAACAGGGCTTTGCTATTTTCGATGCAACAGAAACGCCCCACAGACAAGCCAGTTGCAGAGAGTAGAAGAGTAGAAGGAAAGTAAGTGGCAGGAAACTCCAGCTGTAACTGTATCCAGTAGATACTGAACCTAATTAGCCATGGCAGTCACAAGCGTGGCAGCAGCAGCCAGTTCCAGAATCAAGTATAGGTTGTGCATATTGGAAATGTTTATTTCTCTCCGGACCTATTTCAAATGGATATAGCAGAATCCTGAGGATGAAGGAGTCCCTTAGTCCAACTCTATAAATTCTTTAGAGGAAAGGCACTATATATAGTAAATATAAAGCACTTTTGGCTCTATTGGCTGGTATAAATAGCATTATTATGCTTGGTATTGATTTTCGTGGCCTGAAGAAGACAAACCACGTGTTTACAAGTTTTTGTGTCCCACTTTTCCTTTATTTGTCTTAGAGATTCTTAAGACGTAGAAGGAAATCTTACACATTCACAATCTGATTCAATTGTTCTTTAGACTCTAAACATATAGGTACTTCCAACAGATCTAAGATAAAACATTGAACTGATTGGTCAGGAGAAAACAATGAGAGTATCTAAGAAACCCTACTTATCTTCAGCCCACACCTCTGATGCAGTATAGCCTAAGGAACGGTGACAGAGACTGACAGGTTAACGATGGAGAGGGCACGAGGTGCTCTGAAAACATATCTCCTTGTATTTTTATAAAAGTAACATTTCAGGAGCCAGCAGATGGTGGACTGGTTAAGGCACTGGACTCCCACAGGGCCGACCATAGTTTGAGTGCTGGACCAGGAAGCTTGAAACTTGTGCTAGGCACGGGTTTGTGCATGCCCAAGATCCTGAGAGAAAAGTGGTTGAGAAGGGATTGTGGCATGGCCATACCCCTGGGGGGTTGATTTATCACTTTCTTTCTCTCTGTCCCTCTGGCAAAAGCATGTGCCATATAGCAGGAAAAAAAAAAAAAGAAAGAAAAGAAAAAACTCCCTCTGGCAAATGCATGTGCCATATAGCAGGAAAAAAAAATAAGAAAGAAAAGAAAAAACTCCCTTTAGAAAATTAGATTTCAAACTTTAATTAATTAATTATATGCCTTCAATGTAGTCTATAAAAACATATGTATGTCTATAGAACTACATTTTCAAGTCTCCAGGTCCAGGACTTAAACTGCATAGTCGACCATGTGAGATCTAGCTGCTTCAAACACCAGACCACCTGCTGTCCCCTAGAAGAAACCTTTTTAATCTCAATGATATCGATAGTTTGGACTATACTTTTCATTCTCCTGAGGGACCGTCCAGTGCATTATAGATGGCCAAGCAGCATCTCTGCCCTCTGCTCCCTAGATGCCAATAACAGCACCCTGACTTGTAACAACCAAAACTGCTCCACACATATTAACAATTGCCGGAGGTGGGGAGGGGCAAAAGTATCCTCCATTCTCCCAACTGTCAGGATTTTGGATAGGCATATGCAAGTCCCCTATGTGCTTCTCTCTCTCTCTCTCTCTCTCTCTCTCCCTCTCCTTCCTCCCTTCTTCCCTCCCTCCCTCCCTCCCTCCTTCTCTCTCCCTCTCTCTCTTCTCTCTCTCTTTCTCCTTCCTTCCTTCATTCCTCCCTCTCTGTCCCCATCTCTCTTCTTTCTCTCTCTTTCCTTTCTTTCTTTCATTCCTTCCTTTTTCGTTTTTCTTTTTGCCATAGAGCATATGTGCTCCCCAGAGAAAGGAGAGAGAAAAGTCATAAGTCACCCACTGGTGACTTTCTCTGTTGAGAACAACTACCCTAAGCAAAATCAAAGGGTGTGTATAGAGACAGATCACACACATGCTGTTTGAATAGGTGATGGCCCACCTTTGGCTCTGGGCTCTCAACACAATACCCCCTCCTCTTGCTTTGGAAATGAATGAATTACAACTTCATTCAAAGTTTCATTAGATTCCTAACACAGTTCTGTGAAGAGCTTGCCAGTATCCTTTTGATATTTTTCTGTTAGCTGAGAAATTAGGTCTATATTAACATACACTAACATTTTAGTAGACAAGAAGAAATAACTAAAAAAGGAATAATGTAGATGTTGAGGTTGAAGACACTACACTTCAATTTGTTTTTTTTTCAATGAGCTTTACATATAAATAATAAATAAATGAAAGATATTGATTCTCTTCAATTTGTCCCTTATTATTATTATGTGTATGTGTGTGTGTGTGTGTGTGCGCGCTCGCGTGTGTATGTTTATATGTGTAGGTTGTTGAGAAGGAGTCTTCACTCTAATAAGTCTATTTCCTTGGAGTATTTTATAGTGGCCAAAGCTTCCAGAAGTAGTACTTCTTACCTGGGAATGATGTATAGCACAATGGATAAAAAAAGTACAGAGAGTTTAATTTTCTGAAAACATGGTGGGAATGGATACTACGTCACACTCAATTTGTCTGTAGGCAGCTTCCTCATCTGCTAAAGGAGACAATAGTAGGTGAAAAAAAAATGCGTATATTTTGTTATAATAGGTTGCAATTTGTAAAATCTACATCAATGTTGGTAAATAATCATAGTATTAATGTCTTTGGTTTTTTTTTTTTTAATGAGAATTGATTCAACATATTAGATCTTCCAGCTATTCTAGGGTGATTAAATATTACCTACAAGAAAGATCAGTATCCTCTATTGCTAAAAAATAAATATTTTAGGGCTAGCTGATGGTATGGAGGTTAGGGCATCTGGATTCCACATGACTACCTGCGCAGTTTGAGTCTCAGACTGGGAGGCTTGAAAAACATGTCAGACACATGTGTATGCATGCCCAAAATTTCCAGAGGAGAATGGAGAAGAAGAGATTGAAACTTCATTCTCCAATGGGAAATGGTCAAGCCACAATCCTTTTGTCCTCCATTCTCCCAACTGTCAGGATTTGGGATATGCATATGCATGTCACCACTGTGTTTCTCTCTCTCTCTCTCTCTCTTTCTCTCTCTCTCCTTTCTTCCTTTCTTCCTTCCTCCCTCTCTCTCCCTCCCTCCCTTTCACTCTCTCTCCTTTCTTTCTTTCATTCCTTCCTTTTTTTTTCCCCCATAGAGCATATGTGCTCCCCAAGGAAGAGAGAAACAGTGAGAGAAAAGTCATACGTCACCCACTGGGAAGATGACCACACTGCAGTCCCAGAAAGAGGTCACCTTCACTTTGCAATATGTAGTTTAAAATTATACATAGACCTCAGGTTTTTTTTCATATTTTCATCCTTACTCATATCACCACCAACAATTATAAATTGTTATAAAAGTACAGAAATGTGAAACATACAGTAAATTGTGACTTGATATTTATTCTTATTG